GAAGACTGTGGCTTTTGACCTTCATCAATAAATACCTTAAGTACCCTTCGCTTCCCACAAGCAAAGCTGTGATCTGCATAGCACAGCGTGTTAATGAGTCTTCCTCCTATGCTGGTGCTACATTTTCTTCATATAATCCAGCTTCTTGGATTATTTTTCAGCGTACAGATTATGTCTGGTGAGACGATACAACTGTGAGGCGCTTCTTTTCTGATTTTAAACCATTCAGTGTCCCCTTGTTCTGTTTGAACGATTGCCTCTTGGTCTCTGGTCATTCCTGTGAGTACAATTAAGCATTCTGGAATTACCCGTTCTTCATATTATTATCCAAAGTTTATTATAATCCACACTGTTGAATGCCGTTGCATAGCATTCTCTGCTTTCAGCAATGATCCATCTGACTTTGACAATGATATCTCTAGATTCATATCCTCTTCTGAATCCAGCTTGCTTTTCTGGCAGCTCCCAGTCAATGAACTGCTGAAACTGTTTTGAATTATCTACAGCACAGAATTTTACTTGCATATGATATGGTACTGTTTGATGATTTCCATAGTTCACTAGGTCACCTCTCTTTGGAATGAGCACAGATATGGATCTTTTCCAGTAAGTTGGCCAGGTGGGTGAATTCCCAATTTCTTGGCATAGATGAGTGAGGGTCTCCAGCACTACATTGTTTTGTTGAAACATTTCAAATTGTATTTCATCAGTTCCTGGAGTCTTGTTTTTTTCCCAGTATCTTCAGTGTAGCTTAGATATCTTCCTTCAATACCATTGGTTCTTCATCATATGCCACCTCTTAAAATGGTTGAATGTTGGCATTTTTTTGGTGTTGTTCAGTGGCTCTGTATATTCCTTCCATCTTCTTTTTTTTTTTTTAATGTTTTATTGTGAATTATATGATAGTTTACATGAGAGAACTTTAGTTTTACATTCATTCCATCGTATAACATTTCATTGCCATGGTTCCAATCCCCTCAATGGATCATCTTCCGACCAAAGGATATATCCTAGAAACCCGTCCTCTCCCCTCTCCCCTAGTCTTCGGCTCACAGTCCCTCTCCCCCTCTGGATCCAAAGTCCCCAGCCGCTTCATCATTCCATGTCATCGTCTCTGTCTCCATCTCAGGCATCTCTGCTTCTCTGGGTAGGGTCCCGCTCTCGGCACTTCTCCGTTGGTGGTCCCAGAGACCTCCGCTCCTAGACTGGAGAAATAATCACTCCCTTCCTTGCTACAAAA